TATAAGCTACAAATGCCATGGCACACAAATAGATAAAAATACCAACATACACAGGGAGATACAAAATGCGCGCACACAAATTTTAAAACACAATTCCTTATCTTAAAGTGAAAGAAAGAGGAAGGAAGAAAAGGTAGAAGAGGAAAAACATATTTAAAGAGGGGAGAGCAAATGCAGGCAAGAGGAAAAGGGGGCTTTCTGCTACAGGCCCATGTTCATTTTGGCATCAATAATGACTCCAAGATCCTTTTCTGCCTCTGCACTGATGAGAAGGGAGTTCCCCAGCCTGTAGGTGTGCTGCTGGTTCTTCCTCCCCAGGTGCAGCACCTTGCACTTGTCAGTGTTGAAACCCATCCTGTTCTCATCCGCCCACCCCTGTAACCTGTCTGGTCTGATTGCAGCCTATTCCTCCCTTCTAGCATGCTCACATCCCCCCACATCTTAGTGTGGTCTGTAAACTTGAACAGGGTGATTTTTACCCCCTCGTCCAAGTCGCTGATGAAAATATTGAGCAGTGCGGGTCTGAGGACTGAGCCCTGGGGGACCCCACTGCCCACATCCATCCAAGTTGAATAAGACCCGTCCACCACCACTCTCTGGGTGCGGCCCTCCAGCCAGTTAGCGACCTATTTGACTGTGTAGGTGTCGATGCCACAGTCCCCTAGTTTTTTAATGAGAATGGGGTGAGAGACAGTGTCAAAGTAGGTCCCAGTGGGGGGGGGGGTGACCCAGTCCCTGCTCAGGGAAATAGAGGCAAAGAAATTGTTAAAGTTGATCTAGCTGGCTGATTTATATAGGGTGCTCAAAGAATAAGGCATTTCCCCAGCTGTATTTTACTGAAAGGGGTTTTTTTTTCCCAAAGCTCTTTGTGGCCAGGTCTCTTTTTCAATGCAGCACTGTGGGACCTCTGGGCATTGCTGTGAGGTGAACAGGAAATTCTGCTAAGAAAAGGTTGATTTGTTAACACTTTGTCCAAGGCAGGTTGTTGTAAAGGAGCTCTGTCTCGGCTGTTTAGGGATATTATTAATTTCAGCTCCTCTGCTAATTCCTGCTCAGTGGATGTAGTTGGTAGTTAGGGGAATGGTCCATCTGTTGGGAGGATGGGTCAGTGGAAGGGTAGGGAGCTAGGCTGCGGAGAGGACGGTGTTCTCCTGGGACCTTCAGGCAGTGGCTCTTATCCTTAAATCCCCCACTTCCTTTGCTCAGGGCCTGCTGCTCTCTCTGCTTGATACTTAGCAGAGCAATAACTTCAAATATCTTCTTTTCTTTCAGTGAAACTTTTTCTTTTGTCCTGACCAATGTTGATGGCAGCAGAAAGATCGGCTACTGCAGGCGTTTGCTGGTGAATACCCCGTTTTTTAATAATCCCTTTCCCTGCTAGCTCAGAGCTACTCTGCAGTATCTGCTTGCAGGAGAAGGACCTCAGCACCATCCCCATGTACTGTGCCACCAACGCAAGCCAAGCAGCTTTGGGCTTGCCTTCGGGAGCCAGCTGCAGAGAGACTAATTAGGGAGTGCACTGTGGTTGTCTCTTGCAGACAGCTCTTCTTCAGAGTCTTGTTTTATCAGTAAGCATCAGCTTATGTCTAGGTGGTGTATGCGTGGATATTAGTGGAGAGAAAAGGAGAGGGGAGAAAAGTGAAAAAAAGCAAAAGGAAGAAGAGAGCTGGCATTTTGGTGCTACTACTGTTATCCACCAAGAACAAACTGAAACATTGGTGGAGTAAATTATTCTTGGAGCATCTTTATAGAGAGTGGGCTAGACTGGAACAGCTACATTCAAGGGTATTGATGGCTGAGAGGCAGAAGGATAGACTGATTTTTACTTGACTGCTGAGTTGTATCCCATCTGCTTAAGAAGTAGAAGATTCTTACCAGTGAACTATGTCCAAGATACCATGTACTCAGGTGCAGGGCCCCCTCAAGTCTGTGGCAAGATCATGAGATTTTGCAGCCCTTGATTGTAACTGGATGGCAGGAGATAAGCTAGATTTATTAGGAGGGTTTAAAATATGAACACGAATAACAGTACAGTGCTCAGCGAGTCATTTTGATATTCAAGGGAGATTTGATGCATGTATACTGTATGCTGGCTTCATGCCACCATTTTTCAATAGGATACAGATTTATGTAGTGACAGTGCCTAGCTGTAATGCAGAAGGTGCTGTGGAGGTGGAGGGGCGCTTGGGGATTGCAGAGTATCAAGCAAATTAAGTAAGAAGTATTTGCTAAAAGGATCAGCAGTGACATGTTCAATAATTCAGTCATCTACACAGTCATCTTTTAAGGCATCCCCATATTTTTGTAGCAGTGTAACTATTCCTGTTAGGAGTGTAATATTTTTACTGAAGTGAACTAGTTGTACTGTATGTGTACAAACCCTTAGTATGGAAACAGCTCTGGTGTAAAAACACCTTATGCTGGCATAATCTATACCAGTACACTTCCTGTGACAAGCACCAGTGATTAGAGCAGCTGTTCCTTCCCCACAGCACTGCAACTACGCTACCAGTACATAAATTACCTAACCTCCTTGCCGGTCCTCAGGGGATGTCTGTTCTGCTCTCAACCCTGCCCCATCTATGCATTCCCACTCCACAACTGCCCAACCCGCAATGTAAGGTAATGAAGCCCTGTTGCCGCCCTCAAGCATGCAAGAGACCCAGGTCTCAGGAGCAGCAGTGAAGGACCTGAAAGAATCTCTTGCATTTTTTGCTAAGATTTTAGAGTACAGTCCTGGAGCTGAGGACCTGTGGACTATACAAACTCCTGTGTCTATCCTTAGCAAGACTCGTGTTCCCTGCTGTTCATTTTACTCAAGGCCTGACATTCTGTGGCAAAATATGAGGTTAACTCTGCAACAGGAATTGTTGCAATTATTTTGCACCGTGGTAATAGCACAGCACTGCTCACGGGCTCTGGAATCTGTCTGGTTCAATTCTGTCAAACTGCAAATGTCTCTGGGACGGTAACATTGAGCCGTTGGTTTACATTGTGGCTGGGGAGATGACTCAGTCCCAGCTGCTTTCTGAAAGCACTTGACCCCCAGTTTGACACTCTGAAGCCCCTTTGTGCACTGGACTAAAACAAGCTTGTGCTACTTGGCTCATCTCTAGTGGATTCCTTGCACAAATCCAGTCTTTATCAAATGACGCATGACTGGCCTTGTAGTTTGTACTGTACATGGGCTTTTTTGCTGGTGCTGACTTCTACCTTGGGGGAAGGCTGAATCCCTCCTGGCCTATGCTACCAGCTGCCTGCACGCAATGCTGGAGGCTGCAGGAAGTGAGGCAGGGTGCAAGGAGAATGACAGCTCTCCTGTAGCATCTGCAGTGTGCTGTCCCAGCCTGGATATCACCTGCCTATGCTTCTGCTCTGCTTTAGGCCTCCAATCCCCCATGGGTCCTTGACCCCATCTCTCAAACCTGCCTGGGTGTTCCTCACATGCCTTCCTGATGCTCTGCTTCCCTTCCATGTCCCCTGCCCCTACTCCCCACATCCCCATGGAAGTGTAATTAGGGGACATTTCAGTGCAATCTACTGCACATGGGCAGAGGTTGGCAACCTTTATGGAGTGGCCACTAAATACCACCAGTGATGAATTTGTCAGCAGGAGAAGCAGCAGCTGCTGTAGGAGGGCAAGAGAGAGAGAAGATAGGTTGGGTGGTAGCAATCAACACTGCAGAAAAACAGCTCAGGTGCAAAGAAATGCATGGAGCAGGGCAGTAAAGGGGGATACACCAGGGCCAGCTGCTTCATAGCAGACCGAGTGGACCTGGAGGCATCTGTAAATCGGTGCTGGTGCCTCTGTTGCCCATCGGTACTCACATTATTGGGCCTCTCCCTCTTGTCACCACATTGCTGCTGATGTCTGTAGCCTCTACAGGCTGGATACAGTTGCTTGGCTGGCTGGATCAGGCCTGTGGACTATAGGTTGCTGACTCTTACCCTGGGAGGTCTGTGTAGTCTTCATTTAGAGCAGTGGTTCTCAAACTTTTTAGGCTCAAGGCACCCCTCCGAAAATGCCAGCACTTTGTTTTCATGCATTTTTTGACCACAGAAAAAGAATAGAGTAATTCTTCTGTTGCAAAGAACTTGGAAAGACCACAGCAAGTCAGAATGTGTTAAACACTGACATTTGGTTTATTTTTGGGTTGATCTTGTGAATCATGTTTGCACACAGGATATGGCACCCTTGAAAGAATTTTGTGGCACTCCAGGGTGTTGCGGCACTCTGGTTGAAAATCACTGACCTAGAGCACTGCAGGACAGGAGGGCTCTTATGGTCATCCCTCTTACCTTGCAGACCAGTATGTGTATAGGTGACCGGTGCTGGGAAGACGTGTCTGTGCACCGACTGGAGGAGAGCAGGGCTGGGCTCAGGCTCCTTAGCAGCTTGTCCTGTGACCTTCCTTACTTCCATTTTATGGAGGCAGTTGTGGCTGCTGTTGGCAGTGCCCTGCAAACAGACCCATGGGGTGATGGGGTAGACATGGGGCTTTGCTTTTTGTACTTCATACCTAATGTTGTCAAGCTAACTCTTTTGTGCACCCATCCCCCTTTCAGCCTGTTGGCCGTGGAGCTCGTCTCCCCGAAGTTTTCTGCATCATCAGCTGTCTGGGCTGCTTTGGATTATTCTCCAAGGTATGAGCACCAAGTCCCATACACTTCCATATGCTGAATCATTTTGCCTGCCTGGCCCAGGCAGCTGCTGGTCTGTGGGTGTTGGTAAGAATCTCCCTGCTTTGGTGGAGGGGAGGATTTCTTCCTGCGGGAGTAGGTGGAGATGCCACAGGCACTGAAGGCCACCTCTGTTTAGAGAAGGAGATGCTACTGGAGTGGACAGGATTGAGGAGCAGTGAGCAGCTGGGGCTGTATGCTGTAATAAGTGAACAGTGCAGACCTCTCCTGGGGAAACTTCTGGCCGGTTTGGGTGCTCAGAACGTGGACCTAGGACCATGAGTCTGGTACAGCCGCTGCTCCCCACGGGCAGGGTGACTGTCAATGCTTCATTGCCTTGCTGTGTCTGAAGAGTCATTTCTTCCCTTAGATCCTGGATGAAGTGGAGAAGAGGCGTCAGATCTCTATGGCAGTCATCTATCCATTCATGCAGGGCCTCCGTGAATCCCCCTTCCCTGCACCTGGGAAAACTGTCACCATCAAAAGCTTCATCCCAGAGTCAGGGACAGAGGTTTGTGTTGGTTTACTACTGTGTGCTCAGTCAGGCCCAGCCATATGGCCAGCAGCTTCCCTCACATTGGGCACTGCACTTAATATTGCTATGAAGAAGAGAAGTTGGAGCAGGTGTGGGTGGAGGTATGTGTGTGTGTGGTGGGGGGAAACCCCTGCTTCATCAGAGACTGGAAACATGTTTGGGTGAGCGAGTTCAGCAACAAAAAAGTAGTTGGTGCAAAGTTTTTGCAAGAACAAACTGCTGAGAGAGTTAAAAACCATTGGCATGTAATTATTTCCATCAAGCTTCGCATTAACACCTCCCTGACATGCAGGGTGCATTCACACCTCTTGGAGCTTGTTTCACACTACAGTCTCCTCTGTGCTCTGCTCCGCTCTGAGTGCTAGATGTTCTACATTAGAAAATTGCATCATTTTTAATTGAATCAATTTTAAAAGTATCCATCCAGCGAAACTGTAAAAAGATCTAATGTAGAGGGATAAAAATCAATTTACTCCTTACTAATGTCTGTGGTTAACTTAATTTAGTAAAGTTGTGCCTGCGTCAGTATTGCATTTGCATAGCTAAATCCACTCTGCACAAGCTGTCTACCAGAGGTGAGCCCGGAGGGCCTTCTCTGCATTGCACAGCTGCATTGAAGTAATGTGGTTCTAAACTAAAGTTCATACCATCATAGCTTATGCTGCTTTGGAACTGGTGGGAGCTGTGCTGGAGACTGAATGAGCTCCAAGGTCTGTATAGATGCTAAATGCACCTGTGTAGATGAGGCCTTGATTTTTTTTTACAGCCATGCAATCATACAGGAGTCTTTCCAGGTAATGGGGCATTGAATTGCTACCTTTACAGCCACATGGTTACATATATGTGGGGGAAAATTGACTCTCTGTGTAACTTAGCAGATCACGCTGTCTGCACACTCTAGCACCAGGCCATCCCTACCAACTTGTCATTGTGTCACAGGAGATTTCATCATCCAGGAAGAGGGCTGATATTGTGCAAAGCTGTTGCCTGTTGCTTAATGCTCTGGCTGCTTGCAGAACTACAGAGACTTGAGGGGCTCTGGGAGCATTACTGGAGGGGATGTGGGAAGCACATGCAGGCAGCTGGAGTGAAGTTGAGGGAGATCAGAGAATAACGGAATGGTCTGAAAGCAGCTACTTGGACTGGACTGTGTGACTGGCTTCCATTTAAAACAATTGCTAGGACTTGTACCAAACCCAGTGTTATACTAAACCCTCAGATTCTGTAGCTGTCTCCACTGTGAAGGGGCTGCTTAGTTCAATCAAAACCAAATTCTGCTCATGGTACTAAATCTTGGGAATGTGCTGTTTTACTCAAACTACATTACAAGTAGAGTGCTTGTGTAGAGAGACTCCATGTACGGGAAGTAAGAGAGAGGTGGATCATGTCCCTATCCCATAACTGCTTATCTCTTTTGTGATGATGCATGCTGTGGTCTCTGGAAAATATGTTTAGAAGGCATCTTCATTGGATTTTATGAGCAGCTATGTGGTACAGGGCCAGCAGACAAAGGCAGATTGACTTCCAACCATCAGAAGTGAGAAAAATTCTATCTAAAACAGGCTGCAGAAATTGGACTGAGGTCAGTTATCCATCTGAACATTTTGCCTAGGAGCACAGTGAATTCTCCATCACCTTTAGTTGTTAAATTGAGCCTGTGTACCTCTTCAGAAAGAAAGATTTGCTTTAGCTTACCCATGGGTTACTAGAAAAACTGAATTAAGCTTTCTGGCATGTATTATTCAGGATATCCGATGTGATGGTCATCATAGTTCTTTCTGGCCTTAATATCAGTACAGTCCAACAGCCAATAAACACTTTGGGGGCTGGGCATGTTTGTTAAGGATTTAACACCATCCCATTTAAAACAGGCCCACAGTACTCTAAAGCCTCAAAAGCTTGTCTACACACAGGCTTGCAATGTTTTAAGTGGAGGTGGCCTTGTGAGCTAAGCTATTTATATCAGTGCAAGTCTGTATGTGAACAAGGTCAAAGAAATCCTCCAGCCAAACCAGGGCAGGCCAAACCTGACTCTCCAGATATTTAGGTGCATGCTCTTCTATCTTGCCCTCATCCTTCCCTTTGTACGTAGCTCTATACAGTTCCTGCGCTCAGTGCTGCCTTCAGATCCTTCCTGAAAGACTTGCCGTTATCAGAAACCCTTCTGTGGATCATTGGTGTTGGGGATTATCTAACTATACTATCTATGTTAATAAAGCAGCCATTCACTGAAAACTTCTTTTATTGGGAGCTTGTCCTGATTCTAAGCCATGTCATGGCTGCCTGGGGCACAAGAGGAAAACCAGGACTTGGCTGGGGACAAGGTGATCAATCACCTGCATAAGTAGTTGGATTCCCAGTGTGGACAAAGTGATCCATCACATGATCTGCCTCCTATTTAGCAGTTTGACCTGTGGACGTAGCTGTTGTCTGTTCCAGATCTGCCACTGGTAGAGGCAAGTAGGTATAGACATCACCTTGCACTGGAAACTCTTTGGGGTGGACAGTTTCTGTGAAACGTCTGGCACATGGTGGGTGCTAATAAAATCCATGCTAATTACTGTTCATCTTCCTAGCATGCTTTTCATCTAGTATCACCTTGCCTTTTTGCTTCTTCCTTTTTTCAGCCTGCAGTAGCAGGCAAGGGCCAGCCCAGTGCTTTAATGTCATTCATTTGTGACTCATTAGATTACAAAGTGTTCGATCTCTAACCCAACAGCTCATTGAACTGACGCGGCCCCTGGACTCCCGGCTGGAACATGTGGAATTTCAGGCTCTTTTGCAGCGTCTCACTCCAGGGATCATCATACAGATCTTTGCCTCTGCAGTTCTAGAGCGTCGCATCATCTTTTTGGCAGAGGAACTCAGGTAGGGCCCTTGCATTTGTCCTGGGAACTCAATTGTTCAACTCTCAAGTGCTAGGCACAGGTGACTCCCCCAGCTTTGCAGTACAGCCTGTAGATGCCCTAAACCTTACTGTTTGTTCCCAATGTGTCAGAAGCACAGGATCAGACTGACTGCCATATTGGGATCAGGAAGGAATTTTATTCCATAATCCGATTGACATGGACTGTGAGTGCTTCTGCCTTCCTGTGGAGCATGCTTCTTTTACTTGGATCTCTCAAGCAGATTTTGACATATTGCTGTCCTTGCACTGGCACTTGCCTCATTGCATTGGCATCACTGGGGGCAAGTTAAGGTGTTGTTAATGTTTTCTGGGCATTGCGCTTGGTAGTTTGTGCAGTTTGCTTGAAATGGGCTACACCAGTGATTCTCTGCCATGTTTCCATGGCACCATGGGGTGCCAAGAGACCCTTTTAAGGGTACCATGCAATATTAGCACTGTTAGGTGTGCAAAAGCCTACACATTATTTACAAGAGAAACCCAGGAGTTTCAAATAGGAGTCCATATTGTCAAAAATACTTTGCTCTGCTGTGGTCTTTCTTAGTTTTCTGCAGTAGAAGAGTTGCTCTATTATTTTTCCATAATCAAGAAGTGAATGAAAGCTAAGAGCTAGTATTTTCTGCAGGGGGCCTTGAGGCTAGCAAGGCAAGCCTTGAATCGAAGAAGTTTGAGAACCACTGGGATAGGTGGATACTTGCATAGGGTGGTTTGGACTAGATGACTTGCATAGGGTGGTCTGCATGGGGTTTGGACTAGTCCAGCAGGGGTTTGGACTAGATGACCTCCAGAGGTCCCTTCCAGCCCTTCTTTTCCATGGTTCTATATATTCATGCTAGAACGTTGGAGAAAGTGAATGAGCTACCTCTGCTCCGGGTCGCTCATTCACATTCTGTGTGTGGCTAGGAACACCTAAAAGCCCCAAGTGGTGGCTAATTTTCTGTGCCTTCCTACGAGCACGAGATAAATCCAACCATAAATACAGAGGAGGAGAGAAGCAAGGAACCTCTCACCCTGGGACAACAAAGAGCATGTGCACATGATAGGTAGCTGGTCTGAAAGAGTACACCAGGGACACAGGCTGCTCACAGAATAACCACACCCTGGAATCTGACCCCCGGGCTTAGTTCCTGGTGGAGACCTACGGGTTAATTCTCTGTGCGCTGAACAGCCTGACGCAGTAGCAGAGCTCTGCTCTCTCAGTGGCAGGGAAGTATAAACAGGTTCCTCCGTTAGTTATACAGCCTGCAGATTCCCATCTGTCCTCTGTCTTGGATTCCTTCTGTCAGACTCTTTGGCAGACTTGTGGCTGCCAGACTTTCACCCTACAGAATGAGAGATGAGAATTGATGCCATGGCAGGATCCTCTCTGTCCAGCTGGTAAACAGTGACTCCTCTTAGTGATGATGACTAAGGCTTTAGCAGGACACAGCCCATCCCTCTGAAGCCTTGCAATGGACAAATAAGGAGTTGAGGGGAATTCCATATTCCTTTCTACCCTGATATTGTCCACCCTTTTTGGCTTTAGTTGCAATCACCAGCTGACACAAATCAGAAGCTTTTTCAAGATTGCACTCTAGCACTGGGTGGCCTAGTGGGCAAAGCACTGAAACAGGACTCAGGAATGTGTAAAGCATCTACATGTGCACTTTAATGGGCATTAGCCTAATTCAATGTGCATTCAAATATCACAAAAAAACCATTCTCTTTAGCTAATGCATATTAAAAATAGGCTAATGTACATTTTTCTAGTATCTCACAATGGGAGTACTAGATTTAATGCACATTACCTAAAGCACTTTAATTAACTTGTAGATGTGGCCACTGATAAACCTTGAGATTTCAAACAGGAATCCCGGCTTCCTTCTTGGGCCAGTCACCTTCCCACTCCACTTTCCCTGTCTCTAATATTGGGAAGCTGGTACTGACCTCCTGTAGGATGTGTTTTGAGATCTGCTGATGGAAAGCTCTGCAGGTTATTGTTGATGTGTAACCTTAGCAGTGATTTTGAATTTGTGTAAATGGCTCAGCATATCTGACTATCCCAAGTTTCCTGCATCTAGGAAGTTAGTTTGCTTTTACACTGCTGAGGTCACTGCTCAGGTTTCATATTAGAATGAGAGTTATGGCTCTCCCAACTGTGCTGTAACTGGGAGGTTGGGAAAGAGAAATAGGAGGTTTCCCACTCCCATGCAGAGTGAGGCAGATTGGTTGTTCAGCATTTTTTCATGGTGTGTGTGTTAAGGGGAGGAGGTGTCTGAAACAGAATCATTGTTTTCTAATGGGACAAATTTTTGCTACCAAAAAAATCAACTTAGAGATGCAAAGTGTTGGTGCCCTGCCATTGTGAGCACCGGTCGTGTCTCACTGCTGACAGCTGTGCTTTCAACCTCCCCGGGATCACGAGATGGACTAAAACCATGACTTTTTTTAAGACAAAGTTTCTAGTCCCTTTTCTCTCCCCTCTAGTGTTTGAGTCTTTAATGGGGCATTTTTCCATCTTTTCTCCATATCTATAACCGCTAAAAACTTAGCTTTTTCAAAAATAAAAGCTGAGGTTCGGTCATCATTGCTAATTCCAGGAACCTGGGATTTTAATAAACACCTAATACCGAGCAAGTCATGATAAAATGTCAACAGCTGGCAGTGCTGCCAGGAGTTGAGGGGCAGGGAGAGCTCATAAGACTAGGCCACTTGAACTGGGGGCATACTTTTCAAAAGTGCCTAAGTGACTTAGGATCCTCTGTGTCTTTGAGAACCCCTGGGACTTGGGTTCCTACAGGACTAAGTCATTTTTAAAGCTGTAGAGCTGACCTGCTGGCATGCTGACCTGTGGGTCTGTAATCCCCGAAGGTGCCACATCTGTGTTGTAATTGGATCCTTTGTTTGCTCTGCAGTGTCTTATCCCAGTGCATCCATGCCGTGGCGGCCCTGCTTTACCCCTTCACCTGGGCACACACCTACATCCCTGTGGTTCCTGAATGCTTGATCGACACTGTGTGTTGCCCCACTCCCTTCATGGTTGGAGTCCAGATACGCCACCTGCAGCAGGTTCAGGATCAGCCTATGGAGGAGGTACCGCTCTGTGCAGCATCAAGGGTTGGCTGTGCTGGCAACTGGCTTTGAAGATAACTGTTTCCCCATTCATGCCTCATAACTCTTCCAGGCCCCTGAGTGAAAGACTGAGATTGTACCAGCTTTCCGGTGTCGGGGGAAAAAGAACAGGGCTACTCATTGCCGCAGAAGGGAACAGCAATGGGCCAAGTTATTACCTAGGGCAGGGGTTGGCAATCCTATAGATTCATAGATGTTTGGGCCAGAAGGGACCTTAGCAGATCATTGAGTCCGACTCCCTGCCCTGGGCAGGAAAAAGCATTGGGGTCAGATGACCCCAGACAGGTGCATGTCTAGCCTCCTCTTAAAGACCCCCAAGGTAGGGGAGAGCACCACCTCCCTTGGAAACCCATTCCAGATTCTGGCAACCCTTCCTGTAAAGAAGTTCTTCCTGATGTCTAACCTAAATCTGCTCTCCATCAATCTTTTAGAGCTGCAGGTCACTGCTTCTGGCCCAGGCAGTACTGCGAGCTGCTGATTTCCCTCCCACCCCCGCATTTCCTCCCCTGTTACTATAGGCCCCCACTCCACTGTGTAATGACTTCCTCTGCAGTGCCCAAGCCCCCTTGCTGTCACCTTACCATGTGTTACTGACCCCCTGACCCCAGAGAGGGGCAAAATCAGCATTCATGGTAAGCAGCGCGGGGCAAGAGAGGGCATGGAGGGGGCTTACAGAGGGAGAGGGGGATCTGTAGCAGGGCCACTGATTCCTCATGGCACCACGGGCTTGATCCAGCTGGCAGGCTGTAGGTTGCCAACCCCTGTCCTAAGGTGACCCCCAACCTGCTATGTAAGGCTAATGGGGTGCTGATATCACTCCTTGTAGATGGGCAGGGACCCTATCCTCTTCTGTGGAGCAAAGGGGCATCCCTTCCCCTTCACCCTGTATTCTGAATCAGCCTGAATCTCCCTCCTCTCGCAGCCTGTGGGGCTTGGTAGCTGTGCTGGAAGCGCTTTTGAAAAGCTATCGTACATGACATCAGGATCCCAAGCCCTTACAGCCTCTTCTCCCCTCTGCGGGGATGGGGGTTGGGGGTGGTTTCTGGGGCAGTCAGTGGGATTGGGGTGGAAACTCCTGAACTCCTGTCACACAGGCCTCCCAAGAGACATAAGATGGGGGCATCTTCCCTCCCCTCTGGGCTGGATGTGCTCCTGTAGTGCAGGCTCTTCTGTCTCTCTTCAGCAGGCAGGTAGTTTGGAAGGGCCGGGAAGGTAATGGTGGCCAGATCCATAGAAAACCTCCGTCTTTGGCCTCAGTGCATAAGAATTATGTATCTTGCTCTAGCAAGGTGATTCAAGGAAGCAGGTCTAGGTAGGGTCATCTGAAGAACAATTCACAAATACCTGCATAGTGAGGGGGGAACCAATAGAAACACTGAGCTCCAGGGCATGTCTGGACCCCTGCCTAAATCTCTGGTGTGATTTAGATATGTTAGATGCCTTCAAAAGTACTTGAGCCAAAGACCAGCATCTTCTTGTGAGGGTCAAGTGTAACAGGGCAGTGGCAGTGGCCATGGTGCCCTCCTGTATATAGCTTTGGTTAGACCACTTGCCCTGGAAGACCTGGGGCTGGTTCTGGTTTCTGCTCCCACGACTACTCATACATGTTGCAGTAGACCGTTGTTGAACAAAAAACAAGATCTGTCTCGACCAGGGACTGGAACCTCATTGCACGGGGGTGGGATGGAGAGTGCCCTCTTTACCCAGTGGCTGCCCCGCTGGTTAGGGCGCTGTCTTGGGAGGTGGGAGTTTGAAGCCCCACAGGTAAAGGAGAGCCTAGAACGCAGCTCAGCCACTTCTCAGGGGAGCATCCTCGCCTCTAGTCTGTTATACAGAAGTGGGGAGGTACCATGGCCACATTTTTTTTTTTTTTTTTTTGCTGTGTTTTTGAATAACTGTGACCATGGAGACTGCTCTTTGTGCTGGACTCAGTGCTGCTGGTATGTACCAGGCCTGCTCTCTACTGGATTGGATCCCCTGGGGAGTTAGATGCCTGGCTGCTATCCTAGCATGCACAAAACCCTGCATTTAGGCAGCTTGGGATTCTTACAGTCAAATACACAGCTGCCAAATGAACGTATGTGTCCAAGGGGCTTGAGGCTGCTGGAATGGGAGTTTCTGATTCATTGTTAGGGGCCTTCATTCTGTGCAAGTCCCTTTTTAGGCACTGGGGCTGCCTTTCCAGATCTGCCTCTGCTGTTTATCAAGCACTTCCCCTTCGCCTTGCTCTTACTCAGCAGTCCCGGCTTGGAGGCGGGCCAAGCAACTTGGGGCATATAGGATTGATTTTTGAACAATGTCTGCTTCCAAGTGGCTTTGCTGTACTAACCCTGGATGCTCTCTGTCGCTTTTAGGTTCTGCTGGTCAACTTGGTTGAAGGAAAGATCTTGACCTCGGTAGGTGTTCCTCGTATCAGAAGCACCGCCCCTGCTGCCCAGCCCCGGGTGCCTGCAGCGTACTTGTTTTCCTTTCAGGCTGTTACATGGCTTTAAAAAAAACGTTCTTAAGGCCCTGTGGGCTCCCTAATACATGCTGGTCAGGGTATAACACACAGCTCTGCCCCACCTGACAGTGATTATTTGCATTTTGCAGGCTTAAGAGAGGCCTCTTCCCTGAATTCTTACTGATCAACTGCCCAGGTGCAGGGGGGCTGGACCTGATGATCTGTAAGGTCCCTTCCAGCCTCTACCAACTATGAAACGATGAAATGTAACGAGTTTTCTGTGTTAAAGACACACAGGGCACTGCCCTCCAGGGAGAGAACAATGGATGTGTATTGCAGATTGATTTCTCAGGTGTTGTTGCATTGGTAGGAGTAGCAAAGGGGAGGTGGTATCAGAAAGAGAGGTACCAAATTCTCTGGGGAAGGTCTCTCTCCATCACCTTTTGGAATTAAAATGACTAGGTGATGGCATCTAATGATGATTAATAAATACCACAGACACAGTGGTGATCCTGGCCCTGGATCTGTGGTAGAGTGTTTCAGAGGATTTGGTAAGGACATGGTTTTAATTCCCAGGATGGTTTAGTTTTGAAGACAAACTCAGCAAGTAAGACTCCTTTCTCTCTGGTGCTTCTGTTCCCACTGCCTGTAGAGACCAATGGTCCCAGGTTGCCCCGCTTTGCAGTAGCTGGGTAACTTAACAACACTCTGTTTCAGGTTGGGGATGAAGAGGAGGTATTGCCCGCTAAGCTGCAGAGTGAGATGCTGACATCTTTGGATAGACACAACAGCAACAACAACGTACAGAGTAAGCAGAGGAGTCTTGTGTCTTGAGCTCACATAGAGCGACTGTTGGGGCTCCGGGCAAAGCACTTTCCCTGGGGACCTGCAGTCTGCACTGCCTCCTAGCTGCAGTTCTCTAAGGCTATGTGTACTTCAGTCCCAAGCACCCTTTAAGAGCAAGCTGCTGATTTGGAGAGCGCAGCCAAGTACCCAGACTGGATCAGCCAAGACCCTGGAACAACATGCCTAGACCCAAGCAGAGGCAACTCGGGCCTCACCCTTCCCAAGGGGGAGGATTAAGCTCCCTACAGCTTGTGGTGTGTGGGTGGATTTTCTGTGGCCTCCGTTGCTACAGCTCCACTGAAGGTCATTGGAGGTAGAGCTGTGGCAGCTTGCACCAAGTGAGCATTTGCCTCAGACGCCATTACACTGATACTGTAAAAGACAGGTCTGAATTACCAAGGATCCCAACACACTTCCCTGTATGTCTGAGGTTCTTCCCCATCTGCTCACCCCATGAGCTTGCTGTTGCTCACCGTGATGCTCCCTGGAGGTGGATGCGTTCCCTTCAGGAGTGTTGTCTTTTTGCAGATGGTGAGATGCCTGCTGTGTTCCTTGAGTAATTGTCCGTATAGACAGTCTCATGGGTGTTGCGCCCTGGAGCCTTGACGGGAGAATTTGCATCATAGCAGTATCCAAAACTAGTTCTCCAGCTGAGGCCAAGGCAAACCTCCTGCTCCCGAGTTCCTCTCAACTATCCAGCCAAATTGCAGCTTCTTCCATCAGTCTGCTTTGTGGCCTACAACTTGTTCAAAGCTCTGCACAGCTTCTGCCCCATTGCCTTTTCTTATAATGTTTTTAGTTGCCTTTATAACTCTTTTCCTTGTCCTTCCCCAAGTGCTTTAGCAGCAAAGGCAGAAGACCTCAGGTTTGAGTTGTCTTCTTCATCCTCTGTTGATCTTCATTTAGCTGCGCCATGTGAAGCAACCATTTTACAGACCTTTTTGCTTTAGTTCAGTTTAATTTAGTTCTCTCCTACCCGTCATTTTAGATGTGAGAGTCTCAGTCACTCTGTTGCAGGACATAAAAGCCTGTTTCCCCTTTGGTGTTGATTTTGCCAATGCCTCCATGGTTTCATCACTGCCCTTTCTGTGAAGGGGTGACTTCTGTTTCAGACAGCTTTACCTACTGTTTAAATTACTTGGGCAATTTTTACATCCTCAAGAGATGTGATACATGCAGATCCTTCAAATCCAGAACCAGCAAGGAAAGGAAGAGGTGGGGGAGGGAAAGGAAATCTTCTTAGACCAGGCCATGGGTCTGGCTTCCAAAAGTTCCAGTCTTCATGAATGACTGGTGATGATGGGTGAAATGGAAACAGTGCAGCCTTACAGTCCAATCCCAAGCTCAGCATCCAGGGCTGGGTGATGATATAATAAGATACCCCAGCAACTCATAAATTAGTTTATTTTGCATGGTTTAAGGCTGGTATGTAAAACTTTTTTGGCTCCCACAGGCCAAATCCACACCAGGTGGTTTCCTACGAGCCAGACTATCGGTGAGTGGTGGTGGCAACACTGATCCCCATGGCTCTCAAAGCTGCAGTTTTGGTGTGACTCCAGAGCCCAAGGACTCAATGCCGTTGGCATTTGTCCTCCTTTTTCCCCTGCTGCCCATCTTGGTCACCAGGGGTAACTTCTACCCTCTGCTGAAATCAGGGTGTGTAGGGGAAGGTGAGTGGCATTAACTGTGTTGAAAGAGCAGCTCCAGGGATTAACACTGCAGTCGCAGGGGCTCCAGCAGCAATGGTAGCAAGCTCTGTGGGCCATAGGTGGCTTGCAGAGGTGGATGGTTCTGCCCACAAGAAGTCCCAGGGGACCAGATCTGGCCCACGGGCTATTTTTGATAGATCTGTGAGGGACCAGGGGTCATTTTTTTTGCAAAAATAAGTATATAATAGAACTAAAGCAACTGAGAAGAGACTACATGTGGGATTTATATTGAGTCACTTCAGAGTAATACTCCACTGTGAAAGTCACCCAGCAGTTCTTGTAGCTCTCTTGCTCTGAACAAATTCAGAGACAAATATTTTGCTTCATAATTTTTACTATCAGAAGGGATTGCAAAGACAAGGAGAGAAATAATCCATCGCTAGAGAGGGCAGCCAAAGGTCCAGAAGATGTAGGATTTTTTTGTCTTTGTAAAGCAGAGGAGCCAGTGACCCTGAAAATTTGTGAAATATAGATCTAGGAAAACCTCCTGACACCTAGACATCCTTCTGCCACTACAGATTATGTCTGCTTCATTAGCACAGTTATCTCCCCAGAGCTGTCTGTGCAGGTCAGTGCCATATGCCAGTGGCTGTTACAGCTCTTTACTGATTTAATCTCTAAAAATCGGGTTTTAGTGTCTGAAGGTGATGACAATTGCTTCTGACACAAGCACAGTTTGTGAATTAAATCAGTGTAAGATGAGATCATCCTTCCAGCCTCTCTGTCAGCTAGTGCATGCCTGGTTTGAAAGTTATAGGCACAGTTTCATTAGGTTGTATGCAGTGCGATAAGGTCTGTGGACACAAGGTGTTACAAGAAAAGCAAAGCATGGCTGTTCCAGGAACCTGCCCATTGCACATAGACCTGCTGCTACCATAATGACTGAGCATTTAAATACCAGGCTGGGTCTGAGCAGCAGTTCAGTTCAACTACTTATTCAACTACAATTCATACTACTAAGCAAATGTGATCTCCAGGGCTTTCTCCCATTTTTCTTCTGCACTTGGGAATGGGGACCCATACAAGCTGGCATCGGTCAGGTGTTTGTTAGTGCTGCATTTAAACCAAAGAATGTGGATTGATTTCTCAAGGCAGCTCCTTCCAATGTCAAACAGAGGGTGAGAGGGATGGTCTAGTAGGCTGTACACTGACTGAGGCTTGGGTTTGAGTCCCTGATCTGCCACAGAATCAATTTGCCTTTGAACAAGTCATGTAGCCTCTATAAGTCTCTGTTTCCTATCTGAAAAACGGGGATAATAGCAGTGCCCTCTTTCCAGGGATAAGTACATTAAACGTGGTAATATGCTGAGGTAATGGGCACCATGTAAAAACTTCATAGACAGCGGCTCCTGTTTCCCAGCCGTTCATATTTCTCTTTTCCTTCCAGCCTCTGAACAAGTGAACGCCCAGGTTTCAGAGTGTTTTGTGCATTTTTTTGTCCGAATCGTTGGCCACTATGCAGCGTACATCAAATGGAGCAAGAGCGGGCAGGGCACCCTGCAGGAGCGAGCGTTCTGCAAATCCATCACCTCCAAGTCCTGCCGCAAGTTTGTGAAAAAATTTGTGAAGACGCAGATGTTTTCCTTGTTTATCCAGGAAGCAGAAAGGAGCAGAGCAACCCAAGAAGGTAGGTTGTGCCATCTCCTCCCCTTGCCCTGCTCACAGCCAATGCCTGGAAATCTGGCAGCTGCAGTGCCAGCACTGGGGGTTAGTGGTGCCTGAAATAATGAAAGTGTTTTCAGAAGAGTTGGGTAATTATCACATTGGTGGATATGCAGAAACCGTCCTTTGGATTGCTTGGATTAGAGCAGAGAGGGTTCATTTACCTATCTGTTTGTGCAGGTGAGAAATAATTGGTTTTGTGTGGCTGCCTCTGAAAGCATAGCCAAGGAGGATAAGATTGCTACAAGAGAGGAAGGTTTAGATAGGTGTTTGGACAAGGCTAAACCTCTCTCAGACATCACAGCTGTTATGCACCAACTGAAGTGGTCACCTGTGTTGGATGCAGAGCTACTGCCTCTCTCCCCTCAGCAATGCTTGATGGAGATGGGAATTGAAGATTTCAGAATATCGTCCTTCTTTCTTGCTTCCTTCTTTCTGTGCAGTATATTCTGCTCCCTCAGGGCAGTATCTGAAACTAATACAGCACAGCTTAGAGGAGAGAGTGCTGGGCTGGAGCTGGAGGGACCTGGATGCTATTCCAGGCTCTGCCCACTGCCCTGTAACTTTGGACGAGTTGTCTATGCCTCATCTTCTCCATCTGTAAAGTGGGGATAATGATGCTGGCCTCTCTTAGGTCTGCTGATGAAAAGAGCTTCCTTCCTAGGAGCCAGATCGTGTTGTTGTCATTTCCAGGGAGACCTTTACTAACTTGTCACAGGGAGCCAGCTATCTGGAGCCGTTCTGTGTTCCCCCTTCAAGCTATTACCTCTTTCAGGTGAAATCAGGCAGTTCTCCCACACTAGACCAGGCCTTACAGCTCCTGTCCCAGATTCTCCCTTTGCTCAACTCAGCAGGCCTTAGATTCAAGCCTGCAGTTCTATTCTGTCCAGGAGTAAAGACACGAGACTTTCTTTAATTTGGAACCAAAGCATTTATGTGCAGACAGATCTTAAGACAATAAACAGCCTCAACATGTTTGTGTGTCTTTTCTCCAGCTTCCCTGGCCTATCTCTGCCTTCTGCCTGAATCTTCCCACTAGGAACCACTCTCACACACCCTTGCCCCTCCAGTGGATTTGTATACCACTCAGTATCCCCTTGATCTCCGAGCTCCCCAGCACTGACGGAAAAACTGCTAACTTCCATCTGCACCTGTCTTGAACACTCCTCCCTCCTCCTCCCGCTCCATCCCAATGTTTAGAGATTGCTAATATAGAGCCCTTGCCTTGTCTTCCTGCTGGTCTTTCCTGTGCCCCTGGTATGTTAGTCAAATACAGGAAAGTCTAATAACCCAGCATAACTGCGTAGCAAGTTTACCTCCCTGAGCAGTTAGGGTGCACCGATAGAGATTCTGGGGGCCAATACTGATAGCCGATTTTTAAGGAGACATATCAGCCGATACCAATCTGATTTCCAATACAGCTGCGTGTAGCTGGTAAGTCTGTTGTGGTGGAGGAGGAAGGGAGGAGCGTTGTGGGGGGGCGGGGAGCAGATCAAGGCCTCTGCAGTGAGGGAGGGAGTGGGGCTGGGGCAGCAGGGAGGCGTGGGGGGGGGCGTGTGCCTCCTGGCTCTCGGCAGGGTGGGCTGCAGCTGCGGGCTGGGGCTGTGCCAAACTCTTCCTGGCGGGGGTTCGGGCGGGCCGCGCTCAGGGCAGGCAGCAACAGCGCTGGGAAGGGGGCTGCGGGGTGGCTGCAGGCACCCCACATTTTGCTGTAGCCTACCCTGAAACCCCGCTCCCAGCACTGCCGCTGCCTTCCCCAAGCACAACCCTGGCTCAACCCTGCCTCCATGCACCGGAAAGAGCCTGGAGCAGCCCCAGCCCGCAGCTGCAGCCCCCCCTCCATCCAGGGGCAAATGCCCCCCCATGCCCTCACAGGGTGTGTGCAGCGGCAGGAGACCCCCAGATGATCCCCCACCCCCCACCACTCTGGATGAGCCACAGCTTCATCCCATGCCCTGCCCTGCCCAGGCAGCGCTACCCCAGCCCCTCCCTCGCCACAGGGATCTTGGGGGGTTGTGTGTGTGTTGCAAACACCCCTCCAAGCTGTCAGTCTGTGCTCCTCACTGCCTGTGTGCTGTGCTGAGGCTGTGTGCATCATTTATCGGCCAAATTATTGGCCACATTAGGCCGATTTCCGATGCAATCAATTTTCTTTATATTGGTTCTGGTCTGATATCAGAGTGATATATAGGTGCACCTCTGCTGAGCAGGTCACACATGGTATATCCATAATTTTTAGACGGACAACCTAAACTGATTACATGGTGGCTTCCCCTATGGCGCACAGCTTGCCAGTTAATCAAGGTGAGATTCAGTCCCTCTCCTGCAAACTTGTTACTTATCAGTGCTTTCATGTACTTTTCCAAGCTGCTGCTCTTAACTTATTATACTGGAAAGGTAGAAAAGATCTCTCATCTATTAAGGCAGGTGTCTTATTGGGATGCCTCAATATCAGTGCCTGTCTTATAAATGCCTGGATGGAACAATAGACCAGAATAGTGAAAGCTGAGCTAATTTATAGATTCATAGATGCTAGGGTCAGAAAGGACCTCAACAGATCATCGAGTCCAACCCCCTGCCTAGGCAGGAAAGAGCGCTGGGGTCAGATGGGAAGTTTCAAGATGCATCAAAAAAGAGAGAGCTTCTGTGGAAGCATTCAACATGCTAAGAGAAAGTGTAAAGGGGTGTGGAGGTGGGGGTAAGAGTCAACCATCATGTTCCCAATCAGAACAAACTTCCCACTGGTACAGTTGGTTGGTAATATCTTAAGACATGCTTTTGTATGTGGTATCTGGAAAGCTTAGGCTGTCTATACTGCTCCAGGCAGGATGATTGCAGGGGCAGTAGGCATGCCTGCACCAAGTTTAATCTAGCTGGCTTGGATACTAACAGCAATGAAACTTTGGCAGCACAGGCACCTGTGCAGCCTGTCTCCCTGGGTCCCCACACCCTTGTACAGCCCGCGCTAAAGTCCGTGCTGCTGCAGCTGCTCTGCTGTTGGAACCTGACCAGGTAAAGCTACTGCATGTTATTCCTCTGTGTGCTGCAGTTACACCCCCCGTTGCAGCACAGACTTAACCTGAGAACCACATGCCAGTAAATGGTGAATGACCTTGGAGGGGGAAATGGGCTGGCTGTAACATAACATCTATGATCTTTGGAGCCTGGATCTTTTCTCTTCTTGGTCACATTCAACTCACCCTCGAGTTCTCCAGTAGCTGGTGCTGTGTTTTAGTTCTCCTGCTGGCAATGTGCACCCCAAATACTGCAAAATATTCCTAGATCAGAAGAGCCTGGGCCTGCACCATGGCTGTCAAGGGGAGTTTTGCCCGTTTCTTCAATGGGAACAGGACCAGGCCTGTAATCTTATCACAGGTTTGAGCAAAGCAAATGTGCCTGTTCTAGTGGAAATCATCCGTGAGGGGCCACATCTGAAAAGCAGTTAGGACCAAGGAGTCCACGCTCCTCTCATTTTCCTGAGATAAAATCTGCTTCTCGAACTTGCTTCATATTTTGCCAAAAAGAAAATCTCTGAGCCACAGACCCCAGGAACACTTGGAGGAAGGTAGCGAGTGTAGGTTAAAGTCAGGTTACCCAAGAAAGCATCTTTTTGTTGAATCTTAACCAGGGAGAGGCTACTGTGTGGCCATAATGTATGTAGCTATTCAGGATGCTCCTAGTTCTTACAATTTCCTGCTCTTTGCTGGTCCTTAGAAGTGAAGGGCATGTGGGTAAGAAATACAGAATTTAGTTGCTATAAACAGATGAGTCTATAGATTAACAGCTTGCAACCAGTCCCAGTTTCCAGCAGGCCAGCTGGACGGTGAGTTTTGTTCTCCAGCCATCATGTGTCAACTGACGGGGTTTTAGTTTTGCATAATCTCAAGTCAGCTTCACGTCCCCATAATGTGGGGCAGTTTATTTCAGCTCCGGTTTACCCCCAGTTGCACAGCAGCAGGTTTTGTTACTGCTTCGTGTAAATGAAGATCAAATGCTGCTGATAGTGCACTTCCTGATGTAGGTTGAGAGGAGTTTGTGGTTTATATTCTCATTTGCTGGAAGCACTGGATTCTGTTCCTGCAGTGAAATAGGTCCCCCAGCCCCTTGGCTGAGAAATTAGTCTCTGTATCTCCATCTCCTTGGCATCTAAGTCCCACCATCATCGATATGGTAAAACTACCTCGGCTCCTTTATATTCCTTGCCCTGATCTCAGTCTACTCCAGTCCATCTTCGGGTTCTGTGCCTTGATCTCTGGCTGATTGTTTTGTTTCTTTGGCTAACTTCTGCTTGCGTAGCACACAGCATGTTAAATACAACAGAAGCCAGCCTATGACCTGAATTATTGGGAAACCGGAAAGTTGCACGACTGATCCAGCCTTTTCTTGTCCACAGGGTGCTACTTCCAGCAGAAAATAACTGAATATCAAGAACAAAAGAAACAAAGGAAAAATTCCTGAACTACTGCTCTTAAAGAAAGGAGCCCAACTGGGCCGGGCAGATTGCTGCCTGTAGCTGTACTCTATTTGGACTGGGCAAATGGCTCTTTCAAAGGCAGAGAGGTTTGTGGACTTTGCTGGCTGTGAACATCTCTACCCTCCTCCACCTATCTGTGAATAATGAGAAGCCGAGTCAGCACAGGAGCCCGATTCCTCCTCTGTCTCTTCTTTTTCAGGGCATGACTGCATTAGAAGGCTCTTTTTTATGTAGCTAACAAACAGGCCTGGGATTGCTTTTGCAGTCCAGCTAACCTGCAACGTTTGAACAAGTAGCAACCCAGGTCCTGTAACAAGTGTCTATTGCTGTCTGTGCTGAAGAGAAGCATGGACTTTATGTGAAAGTTGAATGAATTCGAGGTGAGACTGTGGTCTTGCTCTGAAATGACCAAGGATGTAGAATAATTATTGCAATAGAATGTATTGATAGAAAATATTTTAATTAAAACAATTTTTTTCAGCTGAGCAGTGTCCTGCGGCGTATGTATTTCAGAAGGCCTCCTGCTATTTCTGAAGTGGTTGTGCTTGTGTTTTTATAGACACATTTCTTTTTTCAGAACCTGAAAGAGCTACAAGTAGCTCCCCTGGTTTTGGTGCAGTTTTGTTTCAGTCACCTTTGCTTGGGTGTTCAAAACAGTATTAGAACAGGGATTTAAAATGGATAGGCTTTTTTTGAACTAGGGTCCATTTCCAGATGGTGTGGGGGACAGGTGCTGCAGCAAAGGAAATGAGAAATTTTGCAGTTGGAGTTTGGAGGAAGTGTTATCCAGATCTAGCAGTGTCTATTGCTGAACAACTCTATGGGGTTTTTTTTGTGCTTGTTTTGGAAGATGAGTTTTAAAAGCCTTCATAGTTAACATTGGTGCATCCCCTGAAAGGTGATGTTTGCAACAGATTTACAGGCAGGTGCTGGCCTTTTCTATGCCCTAGTAGTGCATTCTTCTAGAGTACATTGCCTGAATGTGAGATGGAGCGGGCAGTAACCACTACCTGTTGGCCCCAAATGGAGGGCATAACAGGATGTGGTCAGATGAGTTTTAAAAGCCTTCATAGTTAACATTGGTGCATCCCCTGAAAGGTGATGTTTGCAACAGATTTACAGGCAGGTGCTGGCCTTTTCTATGCCCTAGTAGTGCATTCTTCTAGAGTACATTGCCTGAATGTGAGATGGAGCGGGCAGTAACCACTACCTGTTGGCCCCAAATGGAGGGCATAACAGGATGTGGTCAGGTATTCCATCCTGTGAGAGCAGCTACGGTTG